TCTCTCTCTCTCTTGTGTCAGTGTGTGTGTGTGTGTGTGTGTGTGTGTGTGTGTGTGTGTGTGTGTGTGCGCGCGCTTGGGTGCACGAGTGTCACTGGGTGGGTATGGGTGTGTATGAGTGTCACTGTGTGTGTGTGTGTGTGTGTGTGCACTACCTTGTTCCCCCGGATAGAATGTACAGTCAGTATAGCTGTATTTGGGGCTTATTTCAGTCTAAATACAGCTATAATGACCGTATGTTATATTCGGGGGATGAAGGTAGTGAAGGTGGACTGAAAGGTTGTTATGGTCGTCCGTTTTTCTGTGGGGTCTTCTTAGCAAATACCACTCTGTGGGGCCTTCTTAGCAAATACCACTCACGGACTGCGATGTGTAACTCTTTAGTCTAGGGTTTAGGGAAGAGAATAGTAGAAAAAAGAGAGGGGGTGTTTGCAACAACCCTTTGTCACTGGGCTGAAGGAGTTTGTGCGGTCCCGTGACATTCCCATGGGCCCAGTTCATACGTTCGGGACGTGTGATTGTGTGAAGGGCCGGCACGCTTAGGTCGTAAACCTCTGGTGTCACTTGATGGGTCTGAGTCCTGTCCCAGTATTGCAGGTCTTTGGTGCTTTTTCTGGTGTTGTATTCTTTTCTTCCTTTTCCTTTTCCTTCTCCTTTTTCTTTTTCTTTTTCTTTTTCTTTTTTTTTTCTTTTTTTTGTTTTCCTACGCGCAGATGGACGAGAAACTTGTGTGCTGTGGGTGAAGTTTCTATAGGTTGCAGCTCTCTGGTCAGGTGGTTTGGATGAGGCGCAAGTTGAGTTTTTGCGATAATGCTTTTTCTGGTGCCACAGCCGCTGATATGATGGTTGGTTGGGTGGGCCAAGAGATGTGCAATTTTTTTTTTTTTATTACTTTTTTCCCCCCAATGTCTTTCATTTAATAAATGGATTATTCGTTGGGTGAATGGAAGTTCTATTTCCTGTTTTTTTGTTGAAGAATGACATAAATTGTATTATTTCCTTTGGCTTGCTTCCCAGAATGGATATGGGAAAACCGTGAGGTTCCGGTTTTTTTTTTTTTTTTTTTTTTTTTTTTTTTTTTTTTTTTTTTTTGCCAGGAAGATAAATAGGTTATTTAAACTTATTTTGTCTTTTGTAACCTTCAATGAACTGCGCCTCAATGCTATAGACGCTGCCTGCCTGTCAATGTGGGGGCGCTTGTTAATCCCGAATGAATTTTTACAGTTTTGGTGTGAAAAGCGATGCCGCGTCTCTCCTCAATACACACATCTCACCAGTCTGAGCTTCTGAAGGCCCAGCCTCCCCACTCTTCGGGAACAGCCCGGTTTCCTAATTTCCCAACACTGGCGGAGGTACTAGTAGTGTTTCAAACCACCAGTACTTGGCCCAGCTATCGGCCGCGGCGCTTTACCCCCGTTAACGCGCCGCGCCTTTAGAGCTTCGGGGTACCGGAGTAACGGGACCACAATGGCTGGAAGCGCCAGCCAAAAAGAAAAGTATAATTTCATTTCGATATCGAAGACCCTTCCCTTTATAAACTTCAGGAGGCGTACAATGTTTGATTCTGGCAGCAAATTGTGTGACCTTTTGTCGGCCGATTCCAGTACAACAAATTAGGGTAGGTTTTAAGCAAAACACAGGAACCGAGGGTGGAGCTTGAAGTTTCATTCATGACTAAATCCTAATTTCAAGATAAGTATGGAGCTCTGTGGATTAGTACTAGGCTACTAGCTTTATATCCAACCCCTACTACCATGTCTAAAAAACAGAAATATTTGGTTTCCATAAGCTTCACTTTATTTAATTTGACAAAGAATTCCCGCTTCCAGGAAGCCGCCGTTAGGCGCGATCACCAAAAAACCATTGACGCCAGTCGTAATTAATTATGATATTTTTTTTTTGTCGACAACCAGCGAAGCTGGTTTTATTTGAGTAATTACACCTAAACGGTACCCTGACGCTTCGGCAAAAATTGTCGCGCAGGGGCATTCCAGGCTCGGAATCAATAGCTGGGCCAAGTACTGGTGGTTTAAACCACCAGTACTTGGCCCAGCTATCGCAGCCGAGCCTGGAAGTGCCCTGCGCGCCGTTTCCCGCCGAAGCGCCAATTCGATTTTGGTTTTCGGAAATGCTGTCGGTGCCAGCCTTCCAGGTCCGGTTGCCCGAAGCGCGAACTTCGCGTAGCGTTAACGATAAGGCCCGTGGCCGATATATGGGCCAAGTACTCGTGGTTTAAGCTACCACTACCTCTGAGCCCCTTTTTGTCCATTTGAAAAAAAACAACTGCGCGCCAAGCTTTACCGATGCGCGAGCAATTTTGGTCCAGTGGCACCCGGTCTTCACAGAATGCGGTATAGACCGGGTTATACGCATTCTGGGGAGATTTTGAGTTGGCCTGTGAAAGGGGAAGTGGTGGGGGTTTGATGGACGGTTCTTTAAAACCAGGTTTACTTCCAGAATCCGGACTCCCAGCTCACTCACTCCAGTGTGACACTATAAGGGAATTTGAGCCAGATTTCCTCATAGATGCTTGAGCAGAAAGCTCCGTCTGGCTAGAGTGGTTTGAGACGCTGGGAGAGGGGAAAAAAAAAAGGGTTTGAGAGAAATTGAGACGCCGGGAGAGACTAGCACTGCAGGGGTGTTGCAAAAAAAAGAAAAGAAAAAAAAGACAAAAAAAAAAGACACGCCGGGAGAGATTCGCCACCGTGGTAACTGGATATATTGTACCGGGGCGTGATTCAGCATTTCCAACAACCCCCAAGGACGAGCTTTCCATCAGTCGGAGGCCAAAATGGTAGGTCCAAGGGGAAAAAAAAGAAAAAAAAAAGTTGTTCGGTATGTTTGGTCCACGGCATATGTGCCCACTTTGTCATACATGAACGTCTTCTTACTGTTAAACCACTGCAGTACTTCCTAAAGTCGTGCCCGTTAACGCTGCACGATTTTAGGAAACGTACGGGCCACTACAGGAGTGCCCAAATTCATCCAACTAGAAACGTTTCTACTCTATTTCTTTTCCGCGGCCGATAGCTGGGCCAAGCACTGGTGGTTTAACAGATATTGGGCCTTGCTACGCTAGACAGCACTGTATGTGCATCTGGACGTTTTTTCGGACTCAGACAGTCGCAATGTTGGACTTGTCCGAAAGCACTTGGTCCAGAAAGCGTCCAAATGCGTTTAGAGTGTTGTGTAGTGGACCGAGGCCCATCGTACGTTGACTCGATACTGAACAGCATATTACATCGTGGCCGCGGCCAACATCAAGGAAGGTGCCACTTGTCTCTGTTCACGGGAAGATGGTTGTGGCTCTTGCCAGTTTCACCAGGCCATTTGCGGATGATTCGCCCAGAGTTAGCGATACCGCTGAGAAAAGTGCTCGGCTTTATGGCATTTACGGACACCAATCCTGCACACACCTCCACAAAAACAAAAAAAAAGCACGACTGTGTGAGACTGTTTTGTCAGACTGTCACTGACTCGCCAGGAGGCTGAATCCCAACAGTCGCCCAGAGCTAGCGATACCGCTGAGAAAAGTGCTCGGCTTTACGGCGTTTACGGACACCAATCCTGCAATCCTACGTGTGTGTTGTCATATTCGCTATACATTCAAGAAAAGAATGACTGTGCCAGACTGTTTCGTCTGACTTTCACCGACTCATCAGGAGGTTGAAGTGTGTGTGCGTGTGCGTGTGTGTGTGTGTGTGTGTGTGTGTGTGTCCCGTGATCGTTTGTTCCTGCTTTCATTCTCCAGAATCTCCACAAATTCATCTCCTGTCCTCTCTCTCTTTTCTCTTTCTGACCTCCTTGCTCCGTCCTTCTTCCCTGCGCCCCTCACTCCCCGCCTGGATGACAAGAGAAAAGAGAGAGAGAGAGAGAGAGACCCCTCCCAAGGCTGTCTCTTATACACATCTAGATGTGTATAAGAGACAGTGGTGTGTGTGTGTGTGTGTGTTTGTGTGTCTTGTGTTGTGTTAAGCA